ATGCCCCTCGGCTCCCACACTTCCCAACGCTCGCGTGTACTGGGTGTGCGAACGTGACTGCTGCGCTGCGACGGATTTGCTCTTGCGATTCGCTTCGCGTGTGCACTGCCACGCACGAGCGCTTATCTTGCCCTCCACCTACATGCGTGGATGCCCTCGAATGGCAGCGACGCCCGATGCCGCCTCCCTCCTAACAGCGCCGAGCCCTCCTGCAGGCTTGAGCAGTCTGCCCTGAGCACGGAGCGTACGCGAGTGTACGCGTGAGCGACTATGGTCAGCAGGGGTTTGGCACCTTCGCCACCCCTGTTCGCCGTTCCTCCCTCGGGTCAGTGGCGGTGCTCGCCTGCGTCGGGTACCCCTGCTTGCTCACGAGGAGTGCTCGCCCGACGACGCTCTCCACGTCGATCCTCCGATCCCCAGGGTCTCGCTCGCTGACTCCCGCTTGCTTTCGTTTCGCTCTCGTCCAGCCCTCGCTATGATGGTCCTGTGTCCCTGAAGAGCATTCGCCGCGCTCTCTTTCGCCTGGTGGAGGCACGAATGGCGCAGTTCCAGAGGACGGCTGGGCAGCCCAGCTCCAGCGCTGGTTTCAAAGACGAGGGGAAGCAGGTAGAGGGACGGGGCATGACAACGAGGAAGCAGGCAGAGGGGCGGACACTCCTCTTCCTCTGGCCTCTCCAATCGTTTCTCGCCCCTCCTCGTTGCCTTCCTGTTCATCTTCCGACAGACAGGCGGGCTGGTTGACGGACGGACGGATGGGTCTGTGGGCGGTGAATGGGCCCATACGTTTTGGAGCGTGTTCCTAAGAAGTACGCAGGACTGACCAGGGCGGGGAGGTGGTGGTCAGGGGAAGGGAGGGGATGGGAGCGGACGGGTACGGCAGGTTCGCGCCGCGTTGACTCGGCGGCGGCCACAGCGCATGCGTTCAAGGTTGACTGCCGCCAGACTCGGCCGATATCGAATGATCCGCACTGTCGGGAAGCCGCGATCGTTCAAGGCTGACCGATCCACGTCGTGCCAGGCGCCAACACGCCCACGTCGACCCCACAGGAACCTGCCGCATGTGGGGGCGGTGGGATGGGGGGTGATTCGGGGGGAGGGAGGGGAGGCGTGGGGCGGGGAAGGCGCCTGCGTCTTCCATTTGAGGGGGTGGTGTCGGATGCCCCAGCCCCCGGATGGCAGGACACGGCGACGCACCATTATTTCTCGGTGGACGACGAGCTGGTGTACGAGCCCTTTAGCGAGGACTGTTGCAGCCCCCCGCGCTGCTCTGGGGGGGGGGGAGGGGGGCGTCCATGGCAGGGGGGATGGGTTGCCGCTGACGACGGGGCCAAAGGAGCAGGAGGTAGCGGAGAATCCACGGCGGGCTGATGATTCTGATGATGATGATGATGCTGATGGTGATGATGATGATGATGATGATTATGATGATGATGATGATGATGATTATGATGATGATGATGACGATGACGATGACGATGACAGTGATGATGCTGATGCTGATGATGGTGGGGATGGTGATGGTGACGGTGGTGACAATGATGATCATGGTGAGGATGATGTTGAGGATGAGGATGATGCTGATGATGGTGATCGTGATGGTGATGATAAATATTATGAGGATGATTCGGATGAGGATGACGATGATGATGAGGATGAGCATGATGATGAGGATGATGATGACGATGCTGATGCTGATTATGATTATGATGGTCAGAGTGATGGTGATGGTGATGGTGATGGTAGTGATGATAATGATGAGGCTTGTGATGAGGTTTTGATTATGCTGATGGTGGTTTTGATTGTGATGATGCTGTTGCTGATGATGATGCTGATTTGTACGATGATGCTGCACATGATGAGGCCTATGCGGATGATGATGATGATGATGATGATGATGATGCTGATGCTGATTCTGATGATTATGGCGATGCTGATGATAATGATGCTGTTGTTGCAGATGATGATGCTGATTCTGATGATGATGATGATGATGGTTTTGATTATAGTTGTGATACTGTTGCTGGTGGTGGCGATGGTGGTGATGATGGTGATGATGATGCTGATGGTGATGTTGTTGATGATGATTCCGTTGCCGATAATGGTGATGATGATGACGATGCTGATGATGCTGATGTTGATGCTGATTATGCTCATGAGGTTGAACATTCTGCTGCTGATGACGATGCTGCTGCTGATGCTGATGAGGCTGGTGATGCTGATGCTGCTCACGATGTTGATCATGAGGCTGATGATGACGATGCTGCTTCTGATGCTGATGCTGATGATGCTGCTAATGATGCTGACGATGATGCTGCTGATGATGATGCTGATGATGATGACGATTATATGGATGATGATGAAGAGTATGTTTATGCTGCTGCTGATGATGATGATGATGATGATGCTGATGATGATGATGAGGATGGTGGTGGTTTTGGTGGTGGTTGGGTGGTGGTGGTGGTGAACGATGATGGTGATGATGATGATGATGATGCTGCTGCTGATGATGATGATGATGATGATGATTCTGATGATGATGATGATGATGGTGGTGGTGGTGGTGGTGATGCTGATGATGATGAGGAGGAGGAGGAGGAGGACGGGGGGCAGGAGGAGGAGGAGGCGGAGAGCCGCGTACGATCTGCAGATGCTGCGCGAGGTACAGGATCTCCATCGAGGCTGCGGCAAGCGTGTCGCCCTCCTTTCTTCATCGGGGTGGCCGCGATAGATCGCCGACGTCCACAACGTGAACCGTTGTTTTTGTGCCCCGCTTGGGCCCACGACAACATTCACGACTACCAGATCCAGGAACCTCGCCTGGCACAGGCGGCTCCTACTGGAGAGGACCAACTCTCGCACGCCACTTGGGGTGCTACAAGCTCAGCAACTACTGGTACAACACCATAGCCCGCAGCAGCCACCGCGACATCCACCTCCAGCTCCGACTATGGCGCCATCATGGGGGTTTACCTTGAGCGGTTCAGCGACCGCGACGCCGCCCTGGAGAGCAACCTCGAGTCGTACTCCAAGCGGCGGGCCGACACCATGCTAAGCCACCAGCCATCGGAGCAGGCCTCGAGTGCTGGAGCAACACCGTGGCGCTCCCTCCCTCCCTCCGCCCCCCCCCACCCTTGCCCGCGGCTGGCTCCCCCAGGACTTCGGCCCGCTGTGCCTGGGCGCGGCGGGGGGCCCAGCGGCCGGGAGCGACGGTCGAGGACGTCGTCGTGGCCGTCGGCCTTCTTGGCGCTTTTGGAGAGCGTTTTTTTGTTCCTGGGCGATATCAGCCGTGCGCGCAGGGGGCTTTGGGGAGGGGGGAAGGGATCTCAGAAACACCCTGGCTTCTTGGAGGGCGCGGGCCTTGTCCGTAGATGTAAGGCCGCCGCCCTCTACGAAGCAGCCTCTTTCTAAGAAGCCTTCCGCTTCCCCCTACCCCCCTTATGCGTGCCGCCAACGATAACGGGCGTTACCGGGTCGGTAACCTTGAGACGGGGGTCAGTAAAATCGGGTGTCGGCCAGAGCGCCAGATCTTGCAGGATCTTGCAGAGCCAGGGTACACTGACCCAGGCTTGCGCGCCAGAATCTGCAGGATCCTACAAAGCCCGACTGGCCGGGGTTTGCGTTGACCCAGGTCAGTTAAAACCCGACGGGGTGTGAGGAGGGCTGGGGGCCAGAAACGTCCCCGTTCTCGCCGGCGTCGTCTGGGAATGTCTGGGATTATCCCCGCTAGAAAAGCCCAGAGGTCAGCCGAATCGTGACGTTATTTGGGGAGGGTCAGGGCCGGTAACGGCTGGCATCGAACAACAAGCCTCTTGCAGGTAAAGGCCACGGGAAGGCCGACGACAACGACGACGACGACGACGACGCAACGACCTTCCTCTCTTGGTCCCATTTGGAGGCTTCTTCGAGGGCTTCTGTTGCCGTCTTCGGAGACTCTGTGGCCGTGGTGGGGCCCTCTTGGCCCGCATGCGGACTCTATTGGGGCCTTCTTGGGCCGTCTCGAGCCTCATCATTGAAAACCAACGAACATCAAAGATTTTTTGCATCTTGAAGCTCTCTGGGGGGTGCTCTTGGGCCCATTTTTGCGTCTTGGGCCATCTTGGGGTTTTGGTGCCCTCCTTGCGCCGTCTCGGACAACATCGTGGGCATCTTGGAGGCGTCGGAGACTGGATTCGGAGGATCCGGAGGCCGTTGGTGTGCATCGACGAGCTCGTGCCCCCCCGTCCATGGCCCTCCCCCCATCTCCTCTGACGGGATTTGGGCCCCAGGGGAGGAGGAAAAGAGGAGGGCTGAGCGCCCAAGATTTTACACGCGCATGTTTACCCCCGGCAAGCGGGGGTCGGCGGATCCTCTACCTCCTCCCTTCCCGTCGCCTTCCCTCCGGTTCTCATCCTCCATTCCAGGTCCCGTCGCTCCTCTGCCGCATTTTTCTTCGTTCACCTGCTCTGGTGTCGTCTATGCCTCCCTCGGCCATTCTTCCCTTTCTCGACGGGCTCGTGCCCCCACGCTTCCGGACTCGCATGAGGGGCAATTGCATCTCGTGTGTCCACGCGTGGTATTGTATGAGAGAGATAGAGAGAGAGAGAGAGAGGGAGAGAGAGTGAAAGAAGATGGTGAAGAGCATCGCAGTTTCTGCCCGGTCCCGTCCATCCCTGCACGTAAGTCCCTGGGGAGTCTGCATCTTTGCCGCGCACAAGGGGGCCCTGGCAGTCTGGGCGAGCCAGTTTGAAGGGAGACGACGTCTAATCCATTTTGGCGGTGCCCTTGATTCGGCAAACACCTTACTGCCTGGGCGGCGTTTCCCCCATCGCAATGCGTTGACCTCCTCGACTGTCTGACAATTGTTCTGCTATTCGGCGAGGCCCTCGGCTGGTAACCTGACATGAGATGTGCGACCGTGCCAGGGCCCCCGGGTGCTCACAAATCAGGGTGACATTCGTGGAGGTTTCTTGTGCGCCTAGACCAGTGCCGAGGTCCACCGGTACTGCACCAGAGTCGACGCCATGCTGCGGTCGCCGAGCCTCGAAGGCACAACCTGCGGCAGTGGCACGCGTGCGTCCCGAGGGGTTTGCCAGTGCACGCTAGTTCGGGAAGGCACAGGCCACGGTGGCCTGTCCGGCCCCAGGCCAAGGTTGCGGGAACAAGCAGTCAAATAAACATAATGTTAGCCAGCGTTGACCCCAAACAGTGTTTCTAGCAATCCTTGCTGTGCAATCTGTGTTGTGCAATCTATATGGTGCAACCTATGTGGTGCAATCTATGCGGTACAATTTATGTTGTGCAAAATGTGTGGGGCAATGTATGTTGTGCAATTCACCCTGCCGACTTTGAAGTTGTCAACTCCACTCCTGGCGCAACCATCCCACCTACCTGCTTGCAACTTGCTTTGCAAAACGCATGAGGCGGCGATTGCGATTAGTGCTTGGCGTTGGATGGTGCATCTCTGTGGACGCGCTAGCTCGCGCATGCTCGCGCACGAAGTGGCCATCTAGTTTGGCGCGACGACGCGGCGGCGATGGCGATGACGCCGGACACTTACCATCGGGCACTTCAGTGCGTATCGGCGATTTGGGCGAGCGCGGTATCATGGCAACGTCAACAACGGTAGGCATGATGATAGTAGTAACGATGCTGATGATGATAACGACGACGGCAGGGCCAGTGACGGTGCTGATGCTGATCGCGCCGACGACGATGACGGCGTCTTCGCGTCGGTGATGAAGGCTTTGGAAAGAAGTCGACATGCGCGCGTCAGGAATCCAAACTTGGTCCAGCGCCTTACCCCCCTCCCTGGAGGGGAAGAAGTGGGGGTGGAAGAGGAAACCCGCTAAACCACTCACGCCCTACATAGCTGCTGGGATTAGGCGCAGGCATGCGGTGCAAAACTTGCGGTGCAATGTATGTTTGGGAATCCGCCCCGGATTGCTTCCCATGTTCGAACAACCAGCCCATTCACCCACCCGCGACTTGTTGGCAACATCGAATGACACCCCGAGTGCATTTGACAACGGTGATGATGGTGATGATAGTGATGATGATGACAACATTATTGCTTATGTTGCTGATGAAAGTGGCGCCAGTGATGGTGGTAACGATTGTGCTGGTTATGATGACGAGGAAGTGCGCGCGCAGCATTTCAGAACTTGCAGCGCAATCTTTCGAGTGGGAGACCGTCGGGTTTTATATGTGTTTGAGGTTTCCGAGTTGAAATAGTGAGAGCACTTCTTGTTTGGGAAATGCACGACCTGCGCGCTCAGAGGCGCGCGGGCGGCCCGGTGGTTTTATTTGACAGAGTTGGCGGATGCTCGATTTTGCGCAGGTTTTCGACATGTGCGCACGTGTCGCCCTCATGGTCCCATGTGACACGATTGCCAAATACCTTTGGTATTCTTACGATTTCAGTGAGTGCGCGCGCAGGCACCAAGCATTGTTTAACTGACAACGCAAACGGTATTTGATGGTTTTTGAACAACTATGTGTTGAAGTGGGCAGAGTGCCGCTGATTTTGAATGATTGAGAAATGCGCGTGCGGCAACGCACGCATTCGGCTTGCTTGGTGTTGTGGGATGGGGATTGTTACAACATGCGCTGTTGAGATCTACGTATGTGCACCGCAGTGTAGTTTGTTGCAGGAGATGGCAGGGGGAACCGATGCGGGGTCGACTGGGGTGACGATCGTGAAAAATATATGAACAGCAGACGCGGACGGGGTCCGATACGCTTTGCTTCGGCATTGTGGGTTTCTCTAGTTCTTTGTAAGAAGTTCAAGTCTTCGTCAGAAGTGGGATTTATGATGTGAAACGTATGTCGTGCAAGCTATGTGGTACATCCCACCTTGCAGATCATGAAATCGTCATCTCCACTGTTCGAATAATGAACACACCCTCCCACCCAGAACTTGTTTTGCACAACCCATGTGGCCGCGATTGCAGTGCCTACTTGGTGTTGAGTGGCGCAAATATACGGCTTCGCCAGCGCGCGCAAGCTCGCGCGCAGAGCGGCCAGCTGGGTTGGCACAACCGAAGTGGTCTCGACGGCGCTTGCGGATATGAATTTCCCAGCGCGTCTTCAAGGCCGCGATGGCGCGCGGGCACTTCAGTGCGTGTCGGTGATTAGGACGGGCCCGGTATCATGAAGATGTCGAAAACAGCGGATGATAGTAGTGACGGTGATGGTGGTGGCGATGATGACGATGACGGCGGCAAGGCCAGTGACAGCGCCGATTCTGGTGACGGCGATGGCGATGATGATGTCCATGTGTGGGTGATGAAGGTGATTGGCCGGTTTGCTGGCGGAAATTGCGGCGATGGGTGGTGACGATCGCGGCGGTCATGCGGTGGAGCTGATGAGGGTGATGGTGAGGAAGTGCTCGCGCGCGGTCATGCAGGAAACGTGGCCGACTGGCTGTTGGAAAAAAGTGTGCTCCATATGTTTTTGAAGAGCTTTATGTTGAAATGTTAGCGAATCACTGGTCTCGGAAGGATTTCGACACTCGCGCGTGGCATCGCGCGCGGCCCTCATGGCATAATTTGGTACGGATTCGTGAAGTGGGCGCATGGTAGAGAAGGCGGGTGTACTGTGTGGCGATATGATGATGTGGGTATTGGACGAGATTGCTAAACTCACATGGTTTGCATACTATTTCAGCACATGTGCGCGGGCAGGCAACCACGGTTTTGGATGTTTGATTTTGAGATATTTGCGTGAATTCGTGTTTGGTATGATTTTTCCCAACCCTCCTTGGTTGGGTATTCGTTTTGACTAGAGCAATGCTCGCGCGTCCTTCCTTCCTGCCGCCTCCCGCCTTCTGCCCTCTCGTCGCCGTCGCTGGGGGGCTGCGACCTGCGAAGCTGTCGCCACTTTCGAGGGCTGCTGGTGGGTCCAATGGAATGAGGCACCGCGCGGATCTGAGCGGTAGCTCGCCGTCCCTGGGGGGCTGCGATCTGCGACTCTGTCGCCACTTTCGAGGGCTGCTGGTGGGTCCAGCGGAGTGAGACACCGCGCGGATCTGAGCGGTAGCTCGCCGTCCCTAGGGGGCTGCGATCTGCGAAATTGTCGCTACTTTCGAGGGCTGCTGGTGGGCTCGCCACTTTCGAAGGCTGCTGCTGGGTCCAGCGGAGTGAGGCACTGCGCAGACCTGAGCGGGGCCTCGCCGTCCTTGGGAGGCCATGTCATGTTGTTGCTGCCCTGCCGACGTTTCAAGCCCCTTGCCCACCTTTTCCTTTTGGACCTTGCGTCTTCCTTAGTGACTCAGGGGTTCACTTAGTTACTCATCGTGTTTCCCTCGATTGGGGACCTGCGAACCTTTGCAATGCCGCTCGCAGAAGTATATGCGTCCATGTCACGTCGCCGCCTTCTCGTCAAATCGCCCAAGCTACTCCTGCCCCGCATTGCGCAGGGGTTGGGTACGTCGCCAGGGTAATTTTGACATGCGCGCGTTTTTTTTTTTTTTTTTTTTTGTTTAAAAAAAAGTTCTTTACACGAGGTTCTTGAATAATCAACTTTTGAAATGAGCGGGTGTGCGCGCATAGTATTGTTGTACAGGGATAAGGGGGGATGTCCGTTGGGCGGGGACGGTATGCATATGGTGCCTGAGCGATGAGGCAGAAGCGTACGTAAACTGACTATCCCAGGGGTAGAGGTATGGTTCCATGAGAGGAGGGTGGTAGAGCCTGCTCTTTCTTTGAAAGGAGAAATTGCACAGTGCAAGCTATGCCGTGACCAATTTGCCAGGTGCAAGCTGTGTGGTGCAAGCTTTGTGGTGCAATCAGTGTGTTGCAAGCCATTCATGCTTCTCTGCAACGCGAGCCAGAGCATTGAGCGGGCACGAGGCGGGCACCGGGCGGAAACCTAGAAAGCGCAGCCAACGCCTGCGGCGGGCACGAGGCGGCCACAGGCGGCCTCGTAGCGAAGTCCCGCCACCGCGCCGGCGCATGGAGCGGGCACGGGACGGGCGCGAGGCGCGCACCGGCCGTGGTCTCATTCTTCCCCAAGCAGTGCTTGCACTCGGGGTTTCCTGCCTCTCTCCTAAGGTAAATGGGCCCCGGTGCTGCTGCTCCCGCGGGCACGTGGTCGCCCGCCACCGCCCGTCGCCGCTGGGGCCCTGGGGTGGCGGTCCTGCCGTCGCCGCGCTGCAACCGCATGGCGTTTCACTGCGGGGCATTACTGCGCATTCCTTGGCATTGCTCTGCGTTACTCGGCATTGGCTATGCATCGCAACGCATTGCAGTGCATTGCTCGGCGCCACATAGTCTTGTACCACATTGACTGCATCACCTAGACTGCTTCACACGAATTGCACTACCTAGTCTGCAATGCATAGACTGGGGTCCACGCTGGGTAAGATTCAATTGAAGCGTTTTTCGGTCTTAAAAGATTTTGCTGGTGCCGCAGCGTTAAGCGTGGTGAGCGCTAGCGGTCGCTTGATGAGCTTGTTCAGTGGACGTTGCAGGCCATCTTGGTTGTTGCCCATACAGGTTGTAGGAGGAGCGATCCGA